CTTGCTCTCCTGCAGCTGGAGGTCTGTGAGGTGTGTTCTCAGGGCTGCCGCGCACATTATTAAAAGACCCTCTGTGCTATAGAATATACGTGCTCTTCGTTAACAGCAGACCCCCGCACTATCATAATTTCAAAACCACAGGTGCATAAACAGCATCTGAGACATCAGCAACAATTGTAATGTGATACATAAAAACAGCTGTGATGGCTTCTGATGGCAGATACTCCTAATACTCCTATGATGTGTTGACCACACTCACCATAGAAGGGAACACAGGGTACATGGCAGGGTGTCAAAAGGAAGATGTTGTTTTTCTCATTCAAGACTCTTCCCAGAAGTCTCAGCAGCAAACTTCCCATGGCATCCTATAGATTATCGCCCGATCCAATCCCGTGGCAGTAGCATGAGGGCTCAGACCTCCCCAGAGGGCTGGACAACCCACAGGGTGACCCAAATGTGGTTCTTGGCAAGGGGACAAGGACTGTAAATGGCCACATTTGGTACAAAACCAAAGTTATGTTTCATTCTAATAATCCATTTAAATCTTTTCCAATCATAAATGTATCTTTATATGTAAAAATATTTTCCTCCCAAGTTATCAAGTAATATTCCCAGAAGCTACCCCATGCTTGCTGTATGATTCTGTGTATCCCATGGCACCCTGCAAGAGGTACATGAGCCCCGGGATTGTGTAGCACAGATTTCACTATCCTGGATTTATGACTCACTGGCTGGATGACTTGGGGCAATACGCTTGGCCTCTCTGTTCTTTGGTTTCCTTGGTTAAAAATGGGAATACTATCAATGCCCATGTCATAGAGGCCTGGCACAAGGTAAACTGGTAAGTATCAGCCATGAACATAATCATTGTAAAAAGTCTGGTTACCTATTGCTGAGTAACAAACCACCCCAATGGAAGGCCCTGAAACAATAAGAACCTCTTGTTTTTACCTCATGAGCCTCCAACTGGGGCTTGACAGGGAAGGCTCATCTGTGCACCAGCATCCTCTGGGGCAGCTCTGCTGAGGCTGGAGGATGCCAATCTGGCCTCACTCGCTGGGTTGGCAAGATGGTGCTAGCTGCTGGCTGGGAGCCCAGCCAGGGCAAGGGCTAGAAGACTCAGCTGTCCTCCCTGTGGGCCCCTCATGTGACTTGGGCTTCCTCACAGCATGGCATCTGGGCTCTGCATCATGGCTGGTAGAAACCACATTGTCTTTCCTGATCCTCATTAGAGTTCTCACCCTGCCACTTCTTCCACACACCGTTAGCTATGACTGTCCTGAAGCCCTGCCCCCACTCAAGGGGAGGGGACATTGACTTTACCTCTTGGTGGGGTTCTGGAGAACATACGGGACTGGAGATGTTGTGATTGGTTTTGGAAACACCATCTGCCGGAGCTCTAGGTGACTTCCAGTCTTAACAACCCTGATCTATTACTGAGCATGAAGTTTATTTTTCACTTTTAGGATTATTCCCTTGGTGGGGGGGCATCTCTTGGAACAGGTTTGTCAAGTTACTACAGTGATTTAACCAATAAGGACATTTCATCATCTCACACAACAGGAGCTGGAGGTCGGCCATTCCAGGTTGGGGCATGTGCGTGGCGATGCCTTGGGAGCCCCTGGGGTCTTCTCCCTGTCCACTCTGCTTCCTCCCTGAATTAGTCATCAGATCTGTCACCTCATGTCTATGAGATGGCTGCTGTGACTGCAGACCTCACCTCCTCAGAAAAAAGCAAAAAAGAAGGAAGGGCCAGACATTTCTTTTCGTCTCTCTCCCTATCTCTCTGACCCCCTCTCTCCCTCCCTGTGTTCCCTTTCTGCTCTCTCTCTCTCTCCATTTTTTTCTTTTTTCCTTCTTTTTTATTTTTCCCCTTTGGGTGCCAGGGGTAGTTGACCACTGAGCTACATCCCCAGCCTTTTTATTTTTATTTTTTTTATTTTGAGACAGAGTCTTGCTAAGTTGCTGAGGCTGGCCTTGAACTTGCAATCCTCCTGCCTCAGCCTCCAGAGTAGTTGGGATTACAGATGTGGGCCTCTGCGCCTGGCCCCTCCCTCTCTCTTTATATTTTTTTTTTTTTTTTAAAGAGAGAGTGAGAGAGGAGAGAGAGAGAGAGAGAGAGAATTTTAATGTTTTATTGTTTAGTTCTCGGCGGACACAACATCTTTGTTGGTATGTGGTGCTGAGGATCGAACCCGGGCCGCACGCATGTCAGGCGAGCGCGCTACCGCTTGAGCCACATCCCCAGCCCCCTCTCTTTATATTTTTAACACAGAGGAAAATCTCCCCAGAATGGATAAGAAGATGTCTCCTTAGGTCTCATTAGCCAAAATGGGCTCATGCTAATTGCAAGGGAAGCTGGGAAAACCAGTAGGAAGCCTTTCTAGCCCCATCACAGAGAGAGGGACTTTGCCTGCAAGAAAAGAGAGGGAGAATGGCTTCCGGGGTGAGAGAGGGGTTCTGAGATCAAAGGGTACATACATGCCTTAAAAGACACATTTTTTAAAGATTTTTTTTTAGTTGTAGATGGACACAATATCTTTATTTTATTTATTTTTATGTGGTGCTTAGATCTAACCCAGTGCCTCACACTGAACCACAACCCCAGCCCCTAAAAGACACTTTTTAATTGAAGATAAACATTTAAAGGTGCCCAAGTTCTAGGGGTCTGGTATGAATTTTGACAAAGTAAACACATCCAAGTGACCAGCACCCAGGTCATAAACAGAACCCTACCAGCCCCTCAGCGTTCCCCTGTGACCTCCTCCATTCCCGACCCCCTAAGCCACTGACGGCACAGATTTGTTCTCTCTGATTTTGTACTTGATAGAATAGGAATATTTCCACAGTTTCTAGTTCTTTCCCTCAACAGTTTAGTCATGTGATTCACCCTACGGGTGTAAGTAATTGGGAATTGCTAACTGTCATGGCAGTACACTGTTCCACTGAGAAAGTATTTCCAAGGCTGGCACTTTTATGAATGGTGCTGTTGACATGGGACAGACAGATGAGGCTGGTGGGAACACAGGTTAAGGGAATAATTATATAAGACGGCCCCCACTGCGCTGCCCCCCACAGGCTTTCTCTTCCAAGAAGCGTTTCCCTGCAGCCTGCCTGGCTTAGGTGGACAGGCTCTGTCACATTCCTCAGCAACCTACCTGTTGTCTGCAGGAGACATGCAGGCCCAAATAATGTGGATAAGAGGATCCAAATTCCCCGAGGGGGAGATTTCTGTAAACCTTTCCAAAGACCAGATCCCAAAACTCAGGGAGATACGCATAATTCCTCCTGATCATAAAACCTGTAAGAATGTATGGCTAAGAATCCAATTGGGGGGCTGGGATTGTAGCTCAGTGGCAGAGCGCTTGCCTAGTATGTGTGAGGCCCTGGGCTCGTGCCTTCGCATCACATAAAATAAATAAACAAAATAAAGCACTGTTTCCATCTACAACTAAAAGATATTAAAAAAAAAAAAAAAGAATCCAATTAGAACCCATCAGCACAGGACAAAGTGCCTAGGGTTGTCATGGCAGTGGGGACTGGAAAGTGTGATGTCTTGCTGCTGTCAGTCAAAAGCCAAGAGGTGGACCTGGGCAGGACTCTCTGGAAACTTCTCTGGGATCCCAGGAAAACCAGGAGAGCCACGTTGTTCCTCTCAGAGAGGACCCAGCCTCTCCTCGGCAGTATCCCTTTCCCTATCCCTTCAATAAACTCCCGCCTGTTACTCCGGGTGACAAGTCTGAAATCTTTCTGACTCGATGGCAGAATCAGGGTTTGAAGGGGGGTCTTCACACTGCCTCAGTTTCCCGGAAGGCCCCAGCCCTGTGACCCTCCTAGGGATGTGCCTGTCTGTCCTGTATGTGGGAGTCCCCGCTTCTCCAGTGTCACCAGCACTTGCTGTTGCTCAGGGAGTGTGATTTTCGTTTGTGTCTCCCTGGTGACTAGGGAAGCCCAGGACCTGTTCACTGTGTCCACCTTGTTTTCTGGGCACACATAACCTTGAACCCGGGTGCACAGAGGGCAGGCAGAGCAGGGGGCCTCAGCCTGACCGACGGGCTACCTACAGCCCTGTGGCAGCTCTGCCAACCCCGAGTTTGTACAGCAGGCCTTGGCGGGCCAGGTGGCCCACGCTCAGAGGAGAACAGAGAGAAATGAGAATTTGCACTTGCTGGTTGCATTTGTGCCGAAATAAAGGTGACTCTGGGGGACAGGCTCAGTAGCCACAGATGACCATAGGGTGGTTCCAGGAACCAGACCTGCTCCAGGTGGCCCTAGAAGCCAGGCCTGGCTGGCAAATTTCAGTTCAAAACAGGTTAGACTGGGAACGCTTCCTGAGGTCTATTACAGCTATTGCGTAACATCCAGCACACAGTAGGCACCCAATATATACATTTTGAATGAACGCTTAGCAAAGCTATCCTGTAACAGATGGGCTGTGTTTGTGGGTGAGGAGAGGGTGACTGAGCTGCTGGGCACTGTGGATGTGCAAGATCTGACAGGTGACCAGGGTGGATGGGCCACTGGGGCCCCCTTTACACACAGGAGGACCACTCTGCAGCGTAGTCAAGATCCTTGGGCCCCAGCCCCTGTGAGCTGTGAATTCTCCATGCTGGAGTTCAGCACAGGCAGACTGATTTCAGTATTAGCAGAAGCAAAACCTAATTAGGAAGGCAAATTGATTTCCAAAAAAAGAATTGGATGATATGTTCCCAGGACTGTAGGAATGGCTTTTTAATTGTCTCCTCTTCTGCATTATTCATGCAAATGCGTGTCTTTGTGCGCAGAGGAGTCTCTCCTCCCCCTCCTGTCCAACTCCCTCCTGTGTTTAGCACCTTTGCTCCCCCAGGTCTTGGGGGGGGGGCTGGACCATTTTTCTGGGCCTAAGGGGTTTCGGGGAGATGGACATAGAGAAACGCTGGGGAGGGCTCCCAGGTACTGAGGTCAACAAGAATCTATCAAGCTGACAGTGGCCTTTCTGTGTCCCCCGCCCCTCCCCTCAGGTAGCCCGGTCCCAGGGCAAGGGCATCTTCCTCTTCCGGAGACTGAAGGACATCATGGACTGGAGGAAGGTGAGTCTGCGTCTTTCCCTTTGCTCTCCACACGTCCTCTGCCCTCTCCCCTCCTCTCTCCCTTCCAAGTTCAGAGAGCCAGCACAGGCCTGCCCACAGGGCAGGGTCCCTGGAACCAGACTATTGGGGTTCAAATTCTGACCTTGCAAACCACAGCTGTGTGACCTTGGGCAAGCAGAAATCCTGCCTCGGCCTCTCAACAGACATGTGTCCCTGGGGAAATCACTGGAGCCCTCTGAACCTTGGTAGTGAGATGGTGGGGGGGTGGGGGGAGCTGGAGGACCTGACTCCTGTGGGCTCACAGCAGGTGCTCAATTAATGCACCTCCCCCTGCTGCCTGCGTCCCCATTCTTCCCTGGGCACCTGTCAGGGCACTGCCTGCAAGAAGTTCCAGGGCTTCGAGGCCCAGCCTTCCCGCTACTCCATCAGTTCCTCTGGAGGCCATGTGAGTAGAGGGGGTGGCCGGGGTCCCTGGAGGGAAGTCTGGCTGTCGGGGTGGGGAGCAGTGTGGGGGTCTGCGGGGGGTCTGCTCAGGACAGCATTCCCAGCCCAGGGCCACTGTGTGAGCCCAGGAAGTATGTGACCCTTGTCTTTGAGCCTGGGCTCCTCATCAGGTGACTGTGAAGGGGACAATGGGTGAGAAAGTTTGCAGACATGGAGGGCTGCATGGCATCGTCCCCAGCTGGGTGGGCAAGTAGAGAAGGGCCAGGGATGGCCTCTGGGCCTCAGGGGCTGCTGATGCCCTGGCGGCAGCACCTTGACAGGACTTTCCGCAGTGATGGCAACAGAGCATATCTGAGCTGTCTAGTATGTGACCACTGGCCACACGTGGACATCATATGGAGCACTTGTCCCGTGGCCACTGATACTGAAGGACTAAAGTTTTTGTTTGTTTCCTTTCAAAAAATTGTGAAAGGGCCGGGCACGGAGAGACACACACACCTGTAATCCCAGTGGCTCGGGAGGCTGAGGCAGGAGGATCGAGAGTTCAAAGCCAGCCTCAGCAATTTAATGAGGCCCTAAGCAACTCAGTGAGACCCTGTCTCTAAATAAAATACAAAATAGGGCTCTGGGGATGTGGCTCAATGGTTAAGGGCCCCGAGTTCAATCCCCAGCACCAAAAAGAAAAAGAAAAAAAAAAAAAAGATATCCCAAGTAGAGTGCCTAACGTAATTCCTTGTACACAGGAGCGCTCAATAAATGTTAATAATATTATTGCAACTAGGACCCAAGAAATTCTGATGACCAAAGAGATGAGATCCCTGTGGAGAACTACGTAGCTCAGCGTTACATCGAAAATCCATACCTGATCGGAGGTGAGATGGCTGTCCCCAGCTCCCTGCCCTTCTGACCAGTCAGTCACTCACTCACTCAGCAAACCTTGACTAGCTGCGACTGAGGGCCCAGGCGCACATCCAGGGCAGGGGGTGCACAGGAAAGATCTGTCCTGGCTGCTGCCCATAGATTCCCCGTGGTTGAGTGCCTTCCCCCCTTCCCCCCCCACCCCGGGTTCATGAAAATTCTCCTTTGAGAACCAATTCTTTCACATATGCATTTACCCAACAAGTATGACGCCCCTCCTCAGTGCCAGCCGCTGGCCTGGGTGCCGGCTGTCGCTCTGCTCCTGTGGAGTCTATTTTCACCCTAGGTGAGGGGACAGCCTTAAGCCAGAGAGCAAAGAAATACAAGAATCCCACGCAGCTGCAGCCATTGCAAAGTAAATCAGGCAGGGTCAGGGGACCGAGTGACACCTGGGAGTCACCTGTAGGTAGAACTGGAGGGAGAAACAGGAAGAGGGAACGGCAAGGACAAAGGCTCCTGGTGCAGACAGCTTCCTCTCTGAGGCCCAGGGAGCCTCTTCCCTGAGGCTCAGGCGGCCTCCTCAGGCCCAGGTGCATGGGCTTTGCCCACACAGGAGAGAAGGGACAGGGTCTGGGGTCTCTTGTAGGTGGCACTTCATTGCAACAGAGTTAGTGCCCCTCCCCTCCCCTACCTCCTGGGCCAATGACCCTCCCCAGGGGGCAGCCCCTGGGTCTCTCCTCCCCTCCCCCCCATCCTGTCTGATTTTTTTGGTTTTGGTTTTGCAAGTTGGGGGTGGCACCTCATGCATGCTAGGCAAGTGCTCTACCACTAAGCAACACCCCCAGCCCCCCCCCACAGCTGTCTGCCACCCCTCTCACCTCTGTCCCTCTTGCCTCCATCTTGATCCTGGCCACTGTCTTCTCCCTGGACAGCAGCACCAATAGCCAGAGGCATCAGACACCCTCCAGCAGCTTCCCGCGGTTTGTAGAATACACCCCAGAGACCGCGGTGACCCCTGCCAACCGCACGCCCCTCATCCCCTTCCTGTCTCTCCCTTGGCCCGGTTCTGCCCCCTCAGGGCCTCTGTCCTGCCCCAAGGCCCTGTGCCCCTCTGGGTCAGGTGGGCCCCTTCTTCACTGCAGGCCACCACTTCCCAGGGGCTTTCGCTCAGCAAACCTTGACTAGCTGCCACGAAGTCACAAGTTTTTCCCCAACAGGGACCCCCAGTTCCTCTCTCCTGGCACCTCACGTGTTTTGCGGGGAGCTCCGTCTGTGCACTGCCACACCCCAAACATCTGGTAACCAGTATTCGCTCCACCAATTAATTCTTTCTTTGCCTGACAGGTCGCAAGTTTGACCTGCGCGTCTATGTGCTGGTGATGTCGGTGAGTGACCAGGGCAGGGGACAGGGAGCTGTGAGCCTCTCTCTGCCCAGGAGAGCTCAGAGGGGACATCTAGGGCTGGAGTGGGCCACCAGATGCACCTCAGTTTCACCATCCTAGGTGTTCCAGCATCAGGTTTTGCCAGTCCTTTTTAGGGGGTGTGGGGCAGGGGTACCAGGGATTGAACTCAGGGCACTTGACCACTGAACCACATCCCAGCCCTATTTTATATTTTACTTAGAGTCTCACGGAGTTGCTTACGCCTTGCCATTGCTGAGGCTGGCTTTGAACTCTTGATCCTTTTTGGGCAGTCACTGGGATTTCAGGCCTGAGCAACCGTGCCCTGTTTGCCTGTCCTTCTTTATCATTCAGTCATCAGTGGTAACCACAGTGAACATGTAGTGAGCACCTACTAAGTACCAGGCCCTAGTTAGTACCCAGCAGGTTGTATCTCGTTCAGTCCTTCCAACAACACAGTGAAGTAGATTCTATTATTATCCTCATTTTACAGATACAGAGAGGTTTAGTGACTTGCCCAAAGGCACACAGCGAGTGAATGGCAGAACTGGGATTCAAATCCAGGCAGCGCGGCTCCAGAGCCTGCTCTCTTAACTAGGGAGGCGCTGACCTCGCTCCACCTCCGCTCCTCATTCATTCATTCATTCAACAAACGCCGAGTATGCCACTCCTCCCTGGGCCTAAGGCCACAGAGGGATTGAGACAGGATTGGCCCCTTTCCACCTGGACCTCTCAGTCGGGCGGGGTGTCACACGTGGTGGCCAGCCCCTCGGTTCCCTCCCGCCAGCCACCGCCCCAGGGAAGGACAGGGTGGAGTCAAGGGGTGACGTTAGCGCGGCGCTGGCGGAGGAGGTAGAGAGGAAGAGGGGGCGGTTCCAGGTGGAGGACCCCAAGGTGCCGACGCTAGAGGTGTTCCCGGTGCCAGCGGGCACCCGAGTCACCCCCGCCCCCGCCCCCGCCCCAGTACATCCCGCTGCGCGCCTGGCTCTACCGCGACGGCTTCGCCCGGTTCTCCAACACGCGCTTCACGCTGAACAGCATCGACGACCAGTGTATCCCGGTCCCTGCAGCCACCGCCCACAGCCTGCGGCCCACCCAGGGGCCAGCCCGCGCCTCTTCACCCCATCGACGTTTGCTGGGTGCCTGGGGTGGGGGGCGGGGGACCAGCGTGAACAGGCACAAGACCGGCGCGGGCCTCTCCA